CTTTCAACATCTCTGAAGTTTTTACGTTTTTTTTTGTTTTACGTATTAAAGGAGCACCAGACAAGGATAGGGAGAGTCCCAGAGGGACAGCAATACAAGAGAGCAGCGAAGAGCCGTGGGCAGAAGGAAGTAACGGAACGGCACCGAACTTCGGACCCTGATATTGTTGCCGTGCGCAGATGGCGAAAGGTCGAAATGTAAAACCGTGGACTTTGAACCAGGAGGCAAGGAGACGCCGATAATTAGCGGTAAACAGAGGCCTATATAAGCAGGCAGAGCGCAGTCATCAAGTAAACCAGTAACCAGTGAAACAACGTAAAGAGCCAAGTAGAGCCGTGCAGAGTCATCAAGGAAACAAGATCGCTACGTCGAGACGTTCGGGACTTAGGGCTTAAGTCTCCGAATTGAGACACAGGTAGCTGAGGTCGGAGAAGCGGAGCCAGTCAAGACATCCGGAGGCAGAGCAAGGACAACGAGGACACCTAGGACGACGAACAACAAGCGCCGTGCGAGCATCAGATACGTCGAATTCTAAAGTCTGCGGCAGAGAGGGTAGGGTGGAAGCGTTTGTCTAGAACCTGGCGTTTGACCCAAGGACTGCGTTGGCGGCTTCCGGCTTACGCCTGAACCGTCAGGTAGAAACTGAGCCGACGTCCGGTGCGACCGGCCGGGTCAGAGCAAGGGACAGGAGGCTGCGGCTGCGAAAGGCGTACGCCTTGAGAGCACAGTGCCTGTTCACCCTCGTCTGGGAACGGTGACTTATCCCTAAGCCCTGTAATCCCGCCGAGCCAAAGGCAACAGAAAACATCGCGAGCGAAACCGGAGAGGGAGACACCACTTCGCAGCAATCACAACCCAGTGAGACGTTCAACGTGGGAAGGAGCCGACGGCGGAGCATATTTCCACATTGTCAATACAAAACCCGGGCGAGGGTTAAGTCGGCGAATAAAAGATCCATATATTCCGAATCTTTCTGTGCGTTTTCACTGATCAATTGGGCGGTAACGTTTATATAAATTTGGTGGGATGAACACTTACATCTTCTGAGCTATCCGCACGACATTCGTAGCAAGCAGATAAACCAAGAAATCAGTTCGTTGCATCTGGCGCCCAACGTGATTGTCCTGACAGTGAAATTCAGCATCAGACAGAAATGAGGAAAGGATGGATCTATCTCCTCAAGAAAGAGGATTTCTCAAAGGTGGATGCCAAGCTTGGCATCATTCTGGATGGCAGGTCGGAGGACATGCGGGAAAGCTCTTTCACAACGAATCACAAAAACACAAAATGGCCTAGGAATGTCGGAAATTTGGGTTGAGCTGGAGGAAATCTACGACAAACCAGACTCAAGCGGCAAAAGGCAAGTCCCAGACATCTCATAGCTAGCCTGGGCGTGGAGAGCATGAAGGAGGCAGGAAGATCCAGGGGCACAAGTCAAGAATGGCCCAGCGCACCAGACTATGCAAAAGTCGCAAAGCAACTCAGGGAATGGTTTTTCTAGTTTGACGGCACGGAGAAACCGCTGGAGTTTCTGGAACAAGTAGAATGGTCAGCAAACACATACGGTTTGAACCTGAACCTCGTTCCCTGAGCCATGCCAGAATAGCTGCAAGGCAAGGCCCTAAAGTGGTTTATTTCCAACAATAAGCCCTGGAGGACATGGGGAGAGTTCAACGACAGTTTTCAAACTTATTTCCTACCAAGGGGACTTTTCTCAAAGCTCGCAGACCAGGTCAAGCAAAGGAAACAGGGTTTTAGAGAGTCATTGAAGGATTATATGGTCGACATGCAAACCATGATGAGACCACTCGGCTATTCCCCAAAGAAAACTCTCGAGCTGATAGAGGAAAGCTGCACGCCTGATCTGAGGATTTCCCTGAGAACGTACAAGATAGACGATCTAGAATCTCTAAAGTTCTTGGCGGATGAGTATGAAGAACTCCAGAAAGAGCGAGAAGCATTCAGACAAGAAAACAAATTCTCGCGAAGCAAAGCAACATCACCACAACAAGTTACGTGTAGAATGTGCGAAGAAGAAGGCGGACACCAAGCGACCATCGACGGACCGAGCCAATGGACTACAAAGAATATAACCACCAGAGCAAGTTATGGAGGCCACCCAGCGCAGCACCAATAGCCCACAGGTCACAGACACACGTCATGACACACGAAGCATGTAGACGGTGTGGCGGTCACGGGCATTGGGCCAGAGGATGCCAAAATCAGCGACTACTTTTCTGCTGGAATTGCGGCGAGGTGGATGTTAGAAGTGTAGAGTGCTGCCAGAGATCGGGAAATGGGCCGCAATCCCAGTCGCAGAGAGGCGAGCAGGGGTGGTTAGAGGAAAAATTGTCCGTGGCAGTGGTGCAAATCACCTCTGAGGAATGCGATATTGAAAACATTGAGTGGAACATCCAACATAGCCTAGCACCGAATCACCATATAGGACGACAAACCAATCAAACAGAGATACTACCCGCTGGAGAAGGGATGCATAGAACACTCGAGAAGTCCGTACAGCTCCCCGATTGTCATGATGAAAAAGATGACTGGTCACTGGAGGCCTTGTGTCGACTTTAGACAGATCAATGCCAAATCTATCAAAGATGCTTATCCGATGCCAAGGATAAATTACATCTTGGACCAGAAAACAGCAGGCTGTTCACGGCGTTCACAATGCCAGGAAAAAGACTTTTCCAGTGGAAAGTAATGCCATTTGGCTTAAACTCCGTCTCGGCGACTTTCCAGAGATCACTGGATCAGCTTATTGGACCGGAGATGTTACCACACGCATTTGCATACCAAGACGAAATCATCGTGATCGGACGCACACTGTTCTTCCAGTGAAACCTGAGAGAAGTTTTCCGACGCCTAAAGCAGGCATGTCATTTCTTCAGAAGCGAGCTGCTTTACCTGGGACACCACGTTACAAATCAAGACATCGACACTGATCCCCAAAAAGTAGCAGCCATAGCCGAGCTGGAACCACTCACAACCATCCGGGAACTGCGCCAATACTTGGGCGTATCATCTTGGTAAGGCGATTCGTGCCCGACTGTGCTCGAATAGTGAAACCATTAAATGATCTATTGCAGAAAGGCACGAAATGGACATAGGCTACGGATCACCAGCAGGCATTCGAGGAGGTGGCCGAGGCTAGCGCCGGATCCTGTGCTGGCATGCCCAGATTTCGATAAACCATTCGTACTGCAGACGGACGCAAGCGATTATGGTATAGGGGCAGTCCGGTCGCAGGAAACAGAAAGCGGTGAGAAAGTCATTTCGTGTGCCTAGCAATTGTGTGGACGATCCGGAAGCTCAAGCCATATTTGGAAGGATACTTAAAGTAACTGACCATATGGCGCTTAAATCGTTGAACAGCATCGAAAGACCCTCAGGAAGGATAGCGAGGTGGGCCCTGGAGCTGCAGCAGTATGATTTTGAAATATCGTTCAGGAAGGGATAGCTGAACGTGCTCGCTGATGCACTGTCGATACAGCCGCTGCCAGAAGCCTTTAGGCTAGCCAAGGAAATTCCGGAAGACACACAGGGAGCATGCAGCTTCGAAAAAATCAACACACAGCCACAGGCACGTTATATAGTCATACCCCGCACAGAGCATGAAGCGAAGACGTGGCAGCATGAAAGCTCAGCGTCCCACGGGGGCTGAAGAAAACCGTGCTGAAGGAGAGTCACGACCAGCCGCTGGACACGTGGGAAGTCGGGAAACGATTGCAAGGCTGGCGGCTCGATATTATGTAACGGATAGCTACGCTACAAGTCATTCCAGGCAAGATGTTGAAAGTGAAACACAAGCGCACGCGGAATAGTTGTCCGGCTGGCGGCTCGTCGGCTAGGCTGAGGTGGTCTTGCTTGTGTACACGTTTGCCTACTGCTACTCTAATAATCGCGTGCAACGACAATGAACCGGAAAAGATAGAGACACACATTTAACTATTGTTGCTGAAAGAGAAAAATACTCTTATGCTGCTGAATTCCCCTTTTCACCTCCTTAGGTGTTGTGGTGGTCCAGTCGAGCCCACCCTTCCTTTGGTCGCTCCATCCACTTGCTCAATAGCCTGAGCGACCCCTTCTCTTAAGCGCTACCCTACATCTGCATATCGCTAGCTGCGGCCAAACTCATATTTTCTTAAAACATTATAAAAGTTTATTAACAGCTATAAACCATTCTTAACACTGGACATAATAATAGATTTACTTATGGACATGTATAAATACGACATATAACTAAGTAATATATATATTAGAGTTTATAAATATTAAATCTTTCTTTCGTTTTCTTAATAAAATCAAAATGTAGGCCAATGTGGAGGGGACTTTAATACGCATAAAGGAATTAATTTAAAAACAAATAAAAAAATACGACTGCAGAACAATTATCCCGTGCGATTGAGTCGCAACTAAAATTGAGTTGAGAGAAAATATTATAATTTTCATTTTTATTTCTTCTCACGATCACATTTACTTTTTCTTTGTATGAAATTTAATTTAAATTGGATTTTCTCACTCACCGATAATTAATTTAAATTTAAATTAAAAAAATCAATTTTGCTGCCACACCTCATCACACCACACTGCACTTTTTTCCACAATTTGGAGTCTTTCTAGATCGATTTTCGCCCCGCCACTGCCATATTATTATTATATAAATTAACCTTAAAAAAAAAATCACTTATTTTCTCGATACCACTTTTCCTGGTTAAGTCATCACTTTGCCCTCTTGGGACGTTTTCGCGGCCAAGCTTTCCGGGTATTATGAAAGCTTTATTTGGCTCAAACTTGCTGCCAATTCCAGGTTTATCTGCCTCTGTTTAGAGCAGTTCGCGCGCCGACGTCATACGCGAATTAGAGGGAAAACGAAACTAAAGCTGCGCTCGATCGAACATCTGGTTCGTTTTCTACAACAACAACAGGAGCTTATTGAACATTTGGCTGAGCAACAAACTACGTTTTTGCGGGCAAACTCGACAGCAAACGTAATGCAGAACGAGTTGCCAAAAATACACATAAAGTCTTTTTCTGGTGACTACAAGGAGTGGCCAGCATTCAAGAACATCTTCGAGAGCACGATTCACAGCAGGCAGCTTTTGACAGAGATACAAAAGTTTTACTACTTAAAGACATACATTACGGGAGAAGCAGCTGACTTGATACGTCATATGCCAATTACGGATGCAACTTACGAGTCTGCTTGGAATTGCTTGATTGAGCGCTATAACAGACCACGTCACATTGTAAACACTCTGCTGGATACTTTTGTAAACTTACCTTCGACATCCAGAGCAGATGTATCAATACTGCGCAAAGTAACTGACGGAGATACAGAGATTGTACGCGGCTTGGATGCAGCAGGGCAAACAAACAGTGACTACTGGGTAATTCATTTCATTCTGGCCAAGATTGACGCTGAAACTCGACGCAAGTGGATTGAGGGCAGCCGTGAACTGGAATCGCCGACTGTGGACGATCTACTCAAGTTTTTAGACCGCCTCTGCGAGGAATTTGAGCTCAGCAAAAGTGAGCCTGACAAAGTCTTCCAAGTTGGCTCACAGCAAAACAAAGCCAAGCGATCGTCACACGCCTTGGTATCAACGGAGGAAGGTGCTTGTGTTAAATCACTAACCATACAACATATAGACTGGTCATTTCATACGACGCATTTGGACACAAAAAACGGACCGCGGAAGGTCCACCGTTCTCACAGCAGCAGGTCCATGCACTTCGTGTGCGTTCGGGTTTTTTACTCTCATTCTTATTCTCATTTTTATGCTCGCGCACTCATTGCACGAGTTCAGTCGTTCAGCCGCAGAGAGGCGCTTTTGAATAAGGCTGCCCTGCGTTTGAATTCGTCTTTGTATGTATGCGTGATCATGCATTCTCATACACGGGAGCATGTGTGCGTTTATTTCATTTCGGCGCATCAAGAATATTTTGTCTTTTGCCACTTTTCAAACTTGGTACCCTAAGAATATGGGCGTATTTACTATTGGGTTATGATATATATATTAATATTATATGTTATAATATATTTTTTAATATTTCAGCATACATTTTATTTTTGTTTACAAATTCAAATCAGTGGTAGCAGTAAAATGTTTTACATATATGTATGTATTCGGATTTATAGAAATCAGTCCACTGAGATAGGAACAGGGCATATCGCAGTCGTGTCACTTGAAACACCGACTGCTCTTTAGTGGTTGAGAAAACTTCAAACTAAATCAGCTCTTGTCGATGTTTTGCGAGCGGTTGGTGCCTGCATACCCTACCTACGATTGCTTTTAAGGGAGCGGGCTTTTAGGACACTTATTTTAAATGTTATGTTTAGTGATCTTTGGTTGATTTATTTTTTAATGATTCGCAGTGTTATTTTAATTGTCTTTAAACAATTCGTTATAATTCAAGATATTGGTACAATTAAAATCTAAAATTATAATCATTAAAATAAATTATTATCATTAAAAAATGTGGATTTTTATATTTGTTCCATTTACCTTTTCAAATATATAAAAAGTATTTTATTATTTATTACTTGTTTAAAGCATTACTTGTTTAAAGCAATAAAGCAATAAAAAAAGCAATTGTTTAAAGACAATTAAAATAACACTGCGAATCATTAAAAAATAAATCAACCAAAGATCACTAAACATAACATTTAAAATAAGTGTCCTAAAAGCCCGCTCCCCTTAAAAGCAATCGTAGGTAGGGTATGCAGGCACCAACCGCTCGCAAAACATCGACAAGAGCTGATTTAGTTTGAAGTTTTCTCAACCACTAAAGAGCAGTCGGTGTTTCAAGTGACACGACTGCGATATGCCCTGTTCCTATCTCAGTGGACTGATTTCTATAAATTCGAATACATACATATATGTAAAACATTTTACTGCTACCACTGATTTGAATTTGTAAACAAAAATAAAATGTATGCTGAAATATTAAAAATATATTATAACATATAATATTAATATATATATCATAACCCAATAGTAAATACGCCCATATTCTTAGGGTACCAAGTTTGAAAAGTGGCAAAAGACAAAATATTCTTGATGCGCCGAAATGAAATAAACGCACACATGCTCCCGTATATGAGAAATGCATGATCACGCATACATACAAAGACGAATTCAAGCGCAGGGCAGCCTTCTTCAAAAAGCGCCTCTCTGCGACTGAACGACTGAACTCGTGCAATGAGTGCGCGAGCATAAAAATGAGAATAAGAATGAGAGAGTAAAAAACCCGAACGCACACGAAGTGCATGGACCTGCTGCTGTGAGAACGGTGGACCTTCCGCGGTCCGTTTTTTTGTGTCCAAATGCGTCGTATGAAATGACCAGTCTATATGTTGTATGGTTAGTGGTTAAATGTAACTCCAAGGAGCACAAGATCTTTATCTGCCCAAAGTTATGGACTTATCAGTCGAGCAGAGAAGCACTTTTGTTAAAGCTAAATCCTTGTGCTTTAATTGCTTGGAGTTCGGGAATGTGTCACGCAGGTGTGAATCCAAATCCACATGCAGAACTTGTCACAATCGTCACCACTCTCTACTACACGAAGAAGATTCTACTGCACACGCCGCTGTAACCAGGACACATTCAAGGGATGAGGAGCAGCGCGACCTCGGCGCTCCAGAGGATACAACGGTGACCATCAGCAACATTGCTCGTGTAACAAGACACTCCATGCGCTGAATCTTCGTACAACGGAACAGCTACTACTACACAGCCACAAGGGTTACGAAAAAAGCGCATTGCCCACAGCTCTAGTACTCGTTCGCAACGCCAAATGATCACACACTTCCTGTCGGGTGCTTTTGGACAGTGGTTCGGAACTGTCATACATCTCCGAGCGATGCGTGCAGGTGCTCGGCCTGGCGCGCTTGCCATCACGAATTTTGGTGTCGGGAATTTCTTCGATCAAGGCTGAGACAACTAGAGGCTGCAGCGCACTGGATATTCAGTCAAGAATATCAGAACACACAATGAAGGTACGTGCCCACGTACTCAGCAAAATTACCTCCACGTTGGCAAGACACAATATCAACGCTTCAGCACTTAAGGCGTTCGATGGCTTGGAGCTTGTAGATTCTGACTACCAATCGTTGGCGCCAATAGATATTCTCTTGGGCAGCGATTGCGTTTGGACCGTGTTCACTGGTAAAAAGCTGTTCGACAGCCAGGGGAAGATCATCGCCATTTCGACCATATTTGGATGGGTCATTACTTCGATTGTGACTACAGGATCTTCAACTACAACAACTATGCACACGGCTATTGACATTGATGCACCACTTCGACGCTTTTGGGAGCTGGAGGATGTCAACCAAGAACTTCATCGCAAACCAGAAAACGATGAAGTTGAACAGCACTTTTGAAGACACACACAAGGGACCCCAAGGGTCGTTACATCGTCGAACTTCCGTTTAAAGACCCCAATAAGCAGTTTTCGGATACTCTTCAGGGAGCACTCGCAAGATTCAAGGGAGTAGAACGCCGTCTAATAGATGCAGCATCCCAATTTGCGCTCACAGTAGTGTAAAGTTTATGCAAAGGCGAGTATCTCAACTTAGGTCACATGCGAGAACTATCGCCAGAAGACATTATCAGAAACCACATTTCTACTTCTGCCATATCATCCACCCAAAAGTTAAGGGTAGTTTTTGACGGATCTCATTTAAGGATACGGAAATTCCTTGGATGACGCGCTACACATTGGTCCCAGTATCCTGCGAAACTTGTTCTCGAATTTGTATCCGATTTAGAAAGTTTAAGTTCGTCTTCTCCTCAGACCAAATCTTGGTGGCTGCCAAGCATTGTAGCTACCAGCGAATTTGTATGGAGAGATGATGAATGTTCGCCTATCAAACACTATGAACTGTCCACGGTAACATACGGCACGTCTAGCGCACCATTTTTGGCGCGGTAAGAGTTTTGGATCAGTTAGCTCACGACCATCAAACACGAATTTCCCACTGCTGCGAAGTCGTAAAGGAGGAGTTTTATAGTGAACGACGTACTCACTGGAGCATACACAGAGGAAGAGCTCGTTCGGAATCAAAATGAGTTAATCAAACTTATGAAATGTGCAGGCATGAAACTTGGAAAATGGGGTCTCAAACCTCGCCACGCATTTCTGAAGCAATGTCAATTTCTAAAAGGAAAGGATTCCATTCACCAGTTTAGCGTTCTTGGCATCCATTGGGATCCAAAAGCAAGATACGCTCTCATTC